ATGTGGGTGGGAAGCCGCGAGTCCAACCGCAGCCTGTCTAAGCGCTGTGAGACAGGGTCATGCTCTATCAGCAGCTGCAGCGTCTGGCTTGTCTTGCGAATCAAGTCCTCCACCTTCGAGCAAACCAAAGGGAAGGATGGTAGCAAAGAGCAGGACTATGAATGGCAGCAGACAGAGGAGACACAGCAGAATGCCCTTCAGAAATCAGGGTTCAGTTTTGGTTTAGTTGCACACACCACAGTTGTCTACCAGACAAGACAAGGTAACAACACAGAAGTTTCTCGTGCTATTCAAAGCCTCTTCTGTTCTGGTCAAAAATAACAGACCAGCTTTTTTTTTTTTTTTTTTTTTTTTTTTTTTTTTTTTTTGGAGAAGTGTCTGAAAACAACACAAGATTTCACCCTGAACAATGCTAAAAACATTGCTAAAGCTGTTGTGTTCCTAATGTTCTACCCAATGCCAGCAGTAAAATCCTCACGTAGTGAAAGCAGAGGTGGTCTCACTACACTCTCGCAGCATCACCTGATAGCTGTAAAAAGCATTTTCTTGTAAATGCAGACACCAAATATATAATTTTTTTTCAATGGTAACCTCATACCTAGGATAAGCTGAACCTCTGTCTATTACCAGATGCCTCTAAGGTGATTAGAACAGCAGACTTCACTATTAATACACATTAAGTCTTCACAGCTCTCCATCCTCTAACATGCCACAGCTTTATGCTTTCTTTATCATCTTCCTCCATGACTGAATGCCACAAATTCAGAACTGCATCCTAACTGCATTTCCTCCTAATTCCCTCTTCAGCTAGAGTAAGCAGCAAAGTTTGTCTTTGTGCCTGTTCTTACTGCTAGCACGAGTACCATGGGTGAACACATATACTGTATGTAGGGTGGGAGAACAGTGCCAAGAGACAGAACAGCTTTAGGAAGAGAGATGAGAAGGAGGCTTTAGAACAGAACTCTGCCCACCTCCTCCACCTGTAACGTACGAATGGGAGCTCCGTTAATTTCCAGGATACGATCTGCAGGGTGGATGGCATTTCGGACATCTGGGCTGATGTGCATCCTGTTAACTCTAAACACAGGTATTACAGTGGTGAGGAAAAAGTCAATTTGGCCAGAATCATCAAAACTGTTTGACCTCTAATGCTTCCCTTTCTATTAGTATTCCCTTGAAGTAAAACAACGCTAATTTCCATTAGAGTAAGTGCTTAGGTTTGAGCTGGTTTGGGGAGAGCTTATCATCTGTTCAGTGGCAAAAATTGCTACTCCATTACAGTTCTTCAATGTTCCCGTTCCACCAAGAAAGACCTCCACAGCAATTAAAGCAGCTGGCAGGACAGCAGTACTGCAGAAGTTTTACCAGCTCCCTCTGCACAGACATGAGCTTTGCACACAGCCTTGTCATACTCACTCCTTCACTTGGACGCCAGTGGCATAACTGGAGCAGCCGCCCTCAACAGACACGGAGAAGCCCCTCTTGCCATCAGTAGCTGCTGGCATGGAGATGAGTGTCAATGTATAAGGCAGCTGCTCGCGCAGAGACTCAGTGGAATGTTTTTCTATCATCGGTGTCAGCACAATCTGGTTATGGCATTTTCCACTGGAAGAAGTGAAGAGAGTCATTGTAGTAGCATCCTACCCCTCACTGCCAAACTCACACTTCTGAGTTATTGCAGTGGCCCTATACTACAGTTTTGATGCTTGTTCCACTCCTTTCTCCCCCCTCTCCCTCCCATTAAAAGGCAGCTTCCTGATATTCCTTAGCCTAGCATTAAGCTGAACCACATGGAGTCAGCTAAATGTGGCTTACACATAGAGCAGGGAGCAATGCAATTTCCCATTGCAATTTCCCATTGGCAAAGCATGCAACTCTGTCTCACCAGTAGAGAGTGGAATGCTGCACCAGTGCATAAGTGTCCCCATCCTCAATGATCACTTTGCAGCTCATACAGGCAAAGCACTCAGGGTGATACTTGTATTCTCCAGCCACCTACAGACAGAAAAGGGAAGTGCTCAGCAAAAACAAAATCCATCAGCATTTGCAGCTGCTGCCTTCCTCTCATTGATTTGGTCATTCAGATCTCAGAGCTGGGGAGCAGCTTTTACTGGAGAGTTTCCTTAGCCCATTCTGCCTTTCCAGAACCCCATCCCTGCTGCTTTGTTTGCAAAACTTCGCTTAAACAAACATGTCAACATGCAAAGCAAAGCCTGCGTCCAGGAACCTCTGTTACATTTGGCAGCTGCTCTGCTATCAAAAATAGTTGATAGTCTGCTGCAGACTAGTAAACAAGATATTAAACCTTCCTGTTCACTTGCTCTTGGCATGATAACTAATGTTACGCCTGAATTAATAAAGCTGAAAGGGCTTTTTTTTTTTTTGGCAGGCAGGCAATGCACAAATTAGGATACTTCACCCAACAGCTGACAGGGAGGAAAAAAAAATAAAAAAATAAAAAAAAACAGTAAGCTGAAACTAAGAAATACTTCTGAAGGATATTTTTCTACATTGAGGTTCTGTTTTCCTTATGATAATTTCCCTTATTGACCATATTTTGCAAAGACAGGCAATGAGAAACTGTTTCAGTACTACTGTTAAGTAACGTTTTTATTGAGGCTTTTGAAAAATAATGGGTTTATTTCATTCTTGACAGCTTTAGAGGTTACATATTTGCAATGCTGGGCAAGCAGTGGAACCCCATATTGTGCAGGAATAGTTCAGTGTTTTAAACCAAGCAGGACTAACGCCATTTCAATTCAGCACTGGCCTGAAACCCACTCGCACTGTAGTCTAGGTGGCAATCTTCCCCAAAGCCAGAACTGCTGCTTATCCTGAGCTGACAGGTCTGACTTTGCACTGCAGAGGAAAACTACCCTACAAACACCGGTGCTCTGTGCTACAGAAACTGGCATCCCATCGCTCATCCTCCTATTTCTCATTCTCGTGCATTTCAACACCTTCTTCTTTGTTCACATGCTTCAGATCTTCATGCTCTCTCCTTTAAGTCACTCTTGTTAAAAATGAATGTTGATAAACCTTATTGTAGATGTCTGATACAAAAGCTGTATCAGGAGAACTATCAGTTTATTTGGTTGTTTGCATAGTGAGGACAACTCCCAACCAAGGACAAGGAGTTGGAGGCAGGTATAGCAGAGTCCTTACCATCACAGGTCCAGTCATCAGCAGAGAGCAGCCATGGCAAGATTCCCCAAACTTCCCCCAGTAGTCTTTGTGGCAGTACAGCTTCCCATCTTTCTCATAGTACCAGTTAGTGAGGGGATCCTGGCATTCAGAACACCTTGAAGGAAACAAAGAAGCACAGTTCCAGTTAGCAGTGAGTCACAGAGCAATGGAAAACATCCCCTCCTGCATGGAGAAAAGAGGCACTCAGCAGAAGCTCACTGCTGGCTGTTCTAGTTACTGTGTCACTAAATCCCCCCATTTGTCAAGGCATTTTCAGCTGAGGATTTGTACCAACACCATGGTTTCGTAAGGACAGGTGGTGTCGACCAATACGAAGGAAAAGGCAGGCTTCCAAAGTTTCAAACAAATTCCATTCACTTCTTAGAACACATCAGTTGGTTTACACATTCTGCATTAAAGATATTAGTACCCTCTCCCTCTGTGTGCAGTTGGCAGGCACACAGACAGCTCTGCTGTGTTTCTACACAGCGTTTCTATAGAACAGCCTTCTACCTGAGCACCTCTCTCCTTGGCTACTTTAGGAAATGGAGGTAGGATCCACTTCCCTACGCATTACAAAACCAATTTCACACCAAGCTTTGTGGAAGGCCCCCCTAATCCTCCACAGACCACCTTTTCCCAAAAGCTCCCATTTCAAGAAACAATCATTATTCATCCTTTATCTGCAAAAAGCCAATAGACAAACAAAGCCCTCAAACAAGGAAAGACATGCAGCAATTCTGCTGCAGATATCATTTTAGCAAATCACAAGCAGAACCCAGGTCTTCAGGCTTCCTGAGCACCAAATAATCCTGCCTCAGCAGGACATGCTGGGAAAAGGAATTCAACTTCTGCAGCACACAGGTGTGACTTAATGAAGAGATAAGGCCACAGACAGGACTACACTCCCTCAGCAGTTGCACCACTGAGGATTATTCCATGAGCCCTGGGCAGCATGTTCTCTGACTTTAAAAGGAAAACAGTCTGGCACTGGCTGTTTCTGAGCGCAGAACCCAAGGCAGGTTAGTGACCATTACTTGGTTTTAGGCAACACCTCGATGCCTTTATCAGCACAATGTTTTCCCAAAGGCTGGAGGAGGAGTTTCTTCTCCTGCTCAGTTACTGTACTGGAGGGGAACCCCAAGGGAGTTGTAAGCGTGCCCTCCTGCGCAGCAGGGCTCTCTACAGCACCAAGTGCATTAAAGGCAGTGTGTGGCAGTGGAGGTACACGTTTCACATGCTTCCAGTCTAAGAAGAGAGCTGCTGCTGGCCTCACCTTTCACAAGCTTTCTAAAAGCTTATTTGTGCCAAAGACATTCCTTGTAAGCTCCACCAACATGTAACGAGCATACTGATATGAGATGCTGGTTGTGATCCAACATGGAACCAACTCCAACCAGAGTTCTTTACTCTGTCTCAAGAGACTGCCAAGCAACAAGATGAAGCTGCCTGTAAGTAGCCTACAGTTTTAGGGGAAAACACACCTCAGTATTTAATGCCATACCCTGCCCTCAGGAAAGCTGCTCCTTCACTTTATACTGTTTGTTCTCCCAGCTGAGCAGCTCCAAATACTGTTTCCCCTCCCTCTGTGATGGGAAAGGTCTCCACCACGTGCAACAACTCCTGTTAACTTTTGAGCAGGGGGAGCAGTAACTTCACCTTACTACGAAGGGTACTTGAATTATTATAGCCCAAGCCTTGGGGCACTGTCAGGGTTACACCCTGCTTGTGGTATGCAAGAGACCTAGAGGGCCCTGCGATGCATTTTGCCTTCAACCACTAGTCCTTGGCTTTGCTTGCAGTAAATACCCCAAGCTGAATGATCAAGTAGGTGAGTGGGAGGGAGAAAGAACAAGTGGAGACCAACAGCAAAGATTTCTATCACCCTGTGGCAGGAACATCTGGCTCAGCATGGGTGAATTGGATCCCTCAGACTTACCTGACTTCTGCGTGCATGCCTGTACCAGTGCATGCTCTGAGCATGATTACATCTTCAAACAGGGAGCTGTGACCAGACCTGCACCTGGGATGCAGACAGCAACACTGCAGACTGGGGACTGCTCTACCAGGACTTCAAGAGCCACTTTTCTGTCCAAGTTCTCCCCAAGCAGGTGGGCTATTTTATTTGCTTTTAAGCACAATACCTCCTTAAACTTCTTTACCCCTTCTACAACTTCAACCACATCTTTTTCTACTTAAGAAACTTGAAGTTTCTACAAAAACAACACAACTGCAGTTGCTTCAGACAGGCTCCAAAAGATCACATACACTTGTCCTCCCTTTGCCTTCCCCCTGCTTCCTTACTGATTCTAACCTTTTTGCTTCCATCTGGAAACAAGCACTGGTATTTAATTTGCAACAAACCCATAGCAAAATGAAGGTGAGGGGGTGGAGCCAGCAAGCAGTCAGTTCTTTGCTATGCAATTAAACAAATCTGGGCAGGACAAGTTTGCAGCTCAAGGCTCAGCACCCCACCCTGGGCAATGAGGCAACAGGAACAAAGCAACCAGCCCCAGAGAAGCTAGGTGCTGGTAATGGCTCTAACTGGCTGTTTCATCCCTCACTATCACTTAGAAAGGCGTTACATTTGTCAGGTGTTGAGGGCTGACAGCACACAGGTATAGTTCTAGGAACGGTTTCAGTGCCTTTACCCAGATGATAAAGGCATCACATGAATGTTCCACATGACTTTCACTCAAGAGATACGTCAGATCTTTATCACAGAAGGTAGAAGCATTGTCTCCTTCCTTTCCCACTTCACTGTTGTGCGCAGCATTACAGCACTGCCATTGCTTGTCCTCACATCAGCTGAAAAAGAAATTCAGTTACCTCTAGAGAAAGTGAACAAGCTCATCTTTGCCAGTCACTGCAACCAAAAGAAAAGACTTCTTGCTTCACTTTTAGATTACAAGCAGCTAATCCATGATTGGCCATTCTTATGGCATAGTAGCCAGGCACAGTAGCCAAGCACGGTAACCACATTTCTTGGAGGACTGCTAGCAGCCCTGCTTGATGTGGCTCTTCTTGCACACTAGCCACCACTTTCAGATCTGCAGAGCTCTTATTATACGGTGAATCTCCACTTTGCATCCTTAGTAATTAAGAATAATTTAATCTGCCTCCTGTAGTCATCCTCCAGGAGCCCCATCAGCACCTAGAGCGAGGCCCTGAGAACGTAATGCTGCAGCAAGAGTTCACAAATCGGTGCTTGATGGCTGCTTGGGTTTGTGGGGGGCAGTGGGAAGATCAAGTGGCACCACGTACCCAGCCTGGTTTTCAGCGAGATGGAGATTCAATCCATGGGACATCTCTTTTACATCTAAATGAAAGCCAATACCCTCATGGAAGCAAAGACTTCCCTGGCACTGAAGAGATGATCCCTTTGAGAAGGGCTCATTAATAAAATCTACCCCCCACACACTGTCAGGCTGGATCAGTTACTGCTAGGCTCCAAAGGACTGCGGTTCCAATTCTGCACGCAGAGGGGAAGAGGACAGGCTGTGGACAGGCTGCATAACTCCAGCCTGCAGCTATCCCAAAGGCTTCTCAGCTGGGCCCAGCACAAGTGTGTGCTCTGGCTCTAAGAGATACTGGCCAAAGAAGCACAGATGCAACAAAACACAGACTAAGTACATAACGTTTAAGCTCTGACTATGCAAAGCTATTTTCATGCCACTTGGTGGGTGTAACTATGGCTTAGCAGGATGTTCTCTCTGTAGTACAAATAATGAATGGCTGCTCACCTGCCTTCAGAAAGAGGATGCTTTCACAGAAAGTTGCTGCTGAAGTTTAGCCATTGCACAGCAGTATTTACTCCTACCCTACTCTGTGCTAACAAAAGGCTACCCACCTTCAAATCAGTACACCAGTGTTTGTAGGAACAGAATCAATAATGTGCAAATCCACGCAGAGGGGACAGGAGAGAGACAATGGAACTGCCAGCCCCCATTTATTCACCTTATCAGCACATTAGCGTCAGTCACCATCCTGGCTGCACTCAGCCCCGCTAACAGCTTTCACCATGGAGATGTAATGCAATCAAAGCCTTATTCTGTAGCCTTTCTCAAGCCTCACTTGTTTGACTGAGCCAAAAATGGTTGTTAATACAAACCAAAATATCACGGGACAAGAATCATTTCCATTTAAGTGAAGTGTATGGCAAGTCCCTAGTTACCTGCAAGGTACTTTATTTCTTTCTCAAACAAGATTATGGATTGCCTCACTGCAGATTACATCATCTCCTTGAACTCCACAGCAGCATGTGGCACTCCCTCAGCCCATACTGTGCCCCAATAAAGCAGCACTGGAAGAGATGCAAGTAGCAGCAGCCGCAGTAATCTCATTCCTCTGGCAGTGGAGCAAAGCACAGGGGCACAGGGTAAAGCAGTGTGCCACTCTGTAATGCAGTCTGCCCGCCTGGGCTACACAGACACTGCTCTGCAACACTGTGCTTTTCCTCACAGAGCAAGGAGGGAGGCTGGTAAGCAGCACCTTTCCTCAAAGCACCCTGGGTTGAGGCCAGCTGTTCCCTGCACACAAGCCCGGATCGCACTCTTTGCACCTCACATGCTAACTGCTTAGGATAGCATTACAGGGGTGAAATGACAGCTTGAAGATCAACTGCTAATCCCATGCAAGACTTACCGAAAGGGATCCTTGGGAGCGAAGTAAGCAGGGGCTGACAAGTAACTTCCCATCTTCAACAGTGGATGAACCGGCTCAGCCACAAACTTGTCCAACTGCCTCTGAACGGCTCTGTTCTGCCAACATGGCAGCAGCCAGTGCTCATTTAATCTTGCGCTGATTCAGACACCTCACCTCTCTTTCAAGCTGCCCAAGGAATGCCAGGTCTCTCGTCTGCTCATTTCTTCTCAGATTTTTCCTGGCTCCCAAGGCTGAAACCATCCTCTCCTGCACTCAGCAGCACTGGCACCCTTGGGGAGGATAGAATGACCGCTACCCAGCCTAGTTAGACATGCTTCTGCAATAGTTCTTCCGAGCTCTGCTGCTTGCTAACTATTGTCAAGTTTTTCCCTTCTCTGGATCCACCCAAGGGTGGGAGGGGAGGAGGAGCCATTGCAGGAGGACAGCGTGTGGCTGCAGAGGCTGAATAAGCTCTACTTCTCTGCAAGGCATGGGTGGAGCTTTGATCCAAAGGGGGCTGCATTAGGAAGTGCTGAACGAGGGTCGCTTTTCCCGAGTCATTAACCTGAAGTCACTCTTTGCAGCAGTGCTACTTTCTGATGGACAAATCGAGGAAGGCTGAGACTAAGGAAGACAGCTAGCCACGTCCCCTTCAGATTAATGTTTACTACATGCTTCCCTAAATCCCGTACAGTGAGCTGGGATATACTGCCTTCACAGTCTGTTTGGTCATCCTCTTGCAGAAAGTAACTTCCCAGGGTGCTTCATCCAAGGAAAATCAACTTTTCTTCCAATGCTTTCAACACAGAGATCATTCAATCACTTAACCTAATCTGCATCTCCTGGAAGGAAGCTGAGAGGTATAAATCAGCACAGGCAGTACTCTCTCCTACTTGCAGCACATGTAGTTACATCACTTTGCTTGCTCTGAAGCCAAGCGTGATCTCTAGTGGCCAAATCAGCTAAAACGGTTAGCATGAAACTGAGATGCAACAAATGTATGCTGCTGCACTGAGCTCTCCCATTTCTGTGCAGTCAGCAAAGCCTGGCATGCCTGAACGCAGCCTGAAAATCGTGCTATGTTCCAGAGGCAACACTGCTCAGATGTGCTTTTACTGGAGATGCTCGTCTCTGTTGGCATATTGTCCGATGGATGCTTGGGGCTGAGCCTTGGCTACAGATTTGACAGCTGCTGCTTGCTATTGAAGTAAGCAGAAAGCCAGGCAGCATTTTTCCCCCCTTCTTAAACAGCCATCTTCATGAAAATAATAATAAATATATGTATATTTTCTCCCTTTTCCCTCATGCAGTTTCTAAGCCCGGCTGTAAAAGCACAGCGAAGTGCTGCAGAGCCCAGTGAGGCTGTCAGCTCCAGCACGGATCTAATTCCTTCTGACATTTCACACAGCTCTACTGGAAGCAGCAACACGGTGAGTCTGTGTCTAGGAATGCGCTCTGGTCTCCCACATTCTCTATACGTTGCGTGCTGTAAATGGAGCAGTGCTCACAGCCCAGCACTCCCCTGCTATCAGCACCACCCCACAACACACACATACCTCGGGTGCATCGCAGGGCCCCTCCTTGCCGCAGTATCACCTACAGACAAAGGCTTTTCCCCACAGAACTGCTACCGCGGGCTGAACTCCCTCCAAGGGGGATTCCACGTGACCTCATAAATCCCAGCCTTACAGACAAACCTTTGAAGTTTTGATCCACAGATGTGATAAGCAGCCAGCTAGTCTGTGAATGAAGCCAGTAGATAAAGCCTAACTTCAAAGTAATAAAAACCACCCAGACAGCTCAGCACCTGGGAAGGGATTTTGTCTGAGACTTCCTTAAAGCCAAAGGACACATAGTCCGAATGTCTATTTTAAACAGGAAACATCTTATCAAAATGATTTTACTTCAGCAGGAGCCCCAGCAGCAGTCAGTAACTTTCTTAATCCTGTGCAGAACTCTATTCTTACTTCTTGCTTTTGTCTGTATGACCTATTTGAGAACGCAACAGCCCTGATAATAGGGCTCTGGAAAAGGTGCTAATGTATTCATTCATTCTAGATCTGAATTCCTGCCAGAATGACTGCACTTCAAGAATGTTGATGAGCAGGTGGAGGGGACCTTTTCTGTGTAATTTTACCGATACCATCTCTAAACACCAACGTGCACCAAAGCAAATTTATTTTTAAACAATCTGAGGTCAAGTATCTGTATTTCTCTCTTGCAAATGCTGACACCGTATCTCTACTGCACAACAGGGGCTGCTTTCCTTCCCGTGCTGTGGAATTGCACAGTGATTTTTGCCAGAGATATAAGCCTGAACATTACAGCTGGCAAGAGAAGGGAACACGTGAAAAGCTTCAACAATGACTGACTCAACATGCAAAGTGAGCTGCAAATACCACAGATTTTACAGCTTTGTCCCCAGAAAAATGCATCACAGCTTTGTGATATTCAAGTGATTAAGAACTTTAAGCAGAAAGGTTTGTTGCATAGCTAGACACCTTGTTTACTACAGTTTATTCTGTGCAATAGCACATCTCCAGACAGATGCAGTGCTCAGCCTATCTTCCAGCCCTAGGATACACAGATTTACCCTGGCACAGACAGGCACTTCAGTATGTGTGCAGACTGGTGTAAGCTGGGGAAAAGGCACCACTTGATGCCTGAAGAGGCTGCAGCAGGTCTTTGTTCCAGCATGGGTGCAGTTTGGAGGCATTCCAAATTCTTCAATACAATCCTAACACCTCATTGTATTTCCAAGGCGCTTACACCTAACATATGCTTCACTGGTGTTGAAAGACAGAGTCAAGCTCCTGACATCAGGTACTGAAACAAACACCGCTTGGTACGCACACACTGCTGAGTGAAAGCTCTTGCACACAGCTCTTCAGTAAACCAAAACCAACAGTGAAGTGAAGCTCACCTTTGTTACTGCACCTCAGCTCTAAACAGCCGCAGAACTTCAGACAGCAATGCCTTTCAGTATCCAACATCGCAGTGGGATGGAGAGAGAGCCCAGACATCCCCCATACATACCTAATGGCTGCAGACCTACTGAATACCTACAGCCCAAGAAGCAAACAAAGAAACTGAGACTCCTCGAAACTTCATAGATCATACATCATTTCAGAAGCAGCTACTTCTGATCTGTAAATGATGACAGCATGTAACTGGTGGCAGCAGGACTGGCATACAGCATCTTTACTTGCTTCCTAGCTTGCTGCTTTGTCTGTGCAGACTGCTGAACTCTTTGGGGGAAGGATCCCATCTCACTCATATGGAAAGCCTGGCACATACTGGTCTGATTAATTGTAATTACACTGATATTACATTCTCTGATAACAGTGTCCTAGAAGGACAAGCTGCACAAGTTAACTAAAAAGCTCAGACTGGAACTTCCAGCTCCCCTAGATACAAAGGGCTGTCATCCATGTCTCCAAGAGCTGTTAAGATTCACCTGAGGAATGTGACCACTTGCACCTGCAAAGTGTTACTCAATTCCTTTGGATTTTTAAATTCCTGAGCAGCTGTGGCAACCTGTGTGCAAACAGGCACTTAGCAACTATTCCTCCCTACATCTGATAGCGAGCTGCTCTATTTCAAAGCTGATGGAGTCGTCATTAAAGAGGCATTCCCAGGGGCCTGCAGGATTAGTGGAGAGGAGCTGTCACCTCTGAGGCTCTGATAGCTTTATGCAATTCCCAGAAACTACAGAAGGATCAGGAAGATCCCTCTTTTCCTGTTCCTGTCATATTTCACATGCATTGTTACTGAATTTTCACCTGGTGTGCGTACAAAACCTGTCTGCGTTCACAGCTGGAAGAGTTAAAGGAAGATTTAAAGTAGCAAACACCACCTCATTTCAAATGCATCTCAAACATACCTGTGCTTACATCTTTATCTGCCAACATCGGTACATTTCAGCTTCACATCCTGTCACTGCACATCTATTTGTCCAGTTGTCTGTGGGGAGGAAGCAGCTCTCAGAAAATGAAGGCCTGTGCCAAACAGTTTGAACCAAGAGAGCTGTACTGAACTCTATACACAGCCTACGAGGAAGAACTAGATCCAGGGCTTCTTCAGCTCAGTCTAGCCAAGACTGACAAGAGACACGATTGCTGCTTGCAAACAGGAAAAGGTTACTTGAACAACAGAAGGGGGGTTAAAAAGCTTGCTTTCCACATCCATTGTGAGCACAACTAGAAGAAATGGATTCAGATGGCAGCCAGATTTCTGAGGACAGACAAATTGTAACATTAAAGACAGTGAAGTGCCAGTAGATGTAGCCTGATGGATAAGCTGCAGTGCTGGCATACTGCCTGGTGACCCATTAGCTACCAGTTTTGTGTTCATTCCTAAGCTGTATGTATTGCTTCAAACAGAAGGGTAAGCTTAGTAGGTATCTCAAAAACCACAGGAAAAAGATCTGGGAAACACCCTCAGAAGGCATCTAGTTTATCCTTCAACCCCTGCAAGATACTCAACTAGCTACACAAAAGCAATTACACATGCAAGATTGCCAGGTTTGCCTTCCTGCACCCCCAAATGTAAAATGAATCAAGGTGATTCGTTAAGTTTTGCTGAGCAAAAATATTTCTATAACATACAATTCAGTGTAGAAAAGAAAAATCTCATGCCTCTATAAGAAAATCAAATCCCTAGAATTTGCAAGTGAACTTTGGGTCTCTTTCCCCTCTGCAGCTCGGAACTCAGGCACCCCCTCAGCACACAGCACGGTGAACACAGCGCGGGCAGCAGCGAGGGATTCCGGGAAGAGCCTCCTTTCAACGTCTGCTGAGAAATGGGCAGAAAGGTAATTTGGTTCACATTCGCTTCAGAATGCCCACAGGAGACAGAGCCAGTTCTGCACTCTGCCAAAAGTGCTCTGTTTTTTCAAGTTCCTGTTTAGAGAAAGCAGCCTGCTGGAGCTTACAGCACTCTGCAGTAGCTTCTGGATCCAGTAAAGGGTAACAGGAAAGTTTAATTAAAAAAAAAAGAGGAGTGCAGGCACTTGAATACAAAAACAATCTGTCATATGAATTAACTTTAAATAATACATCAGTTTATAGTGTGATTTAAACAAATTTTATTAGTTTAGACTTCATGTTACTGTTATACTAACAAGTGTAAGCGGTTTCTTGAAGATTTCAAGACTGCATTTAATTGTAGCCAATATGTTACACTGGAAAGTCAATTTGCTACTTAAAATTCGTTACATATAATGATGTAACTCTCCATCAGCATGAAAAGATTTAATGTATACTCGGATATCAAAAGCTTGCACTTTCTAAATCAACCTTTATACTGCTAACTTAGCATTAACTATTTTATAATATCATTTTAAAAACTAATTCATAAAGCCATCAGTAGATTTTTTCCAGATCAAGCTGCAATGCATGTGCATAGGAGTCTGCTGTAGTCAGCAAAATGGAAATACTGGCCCAAGCTGAACTAATGGTTTATGGTCATCCTCATCTTCAGTCTCTCGGTTCTTTAAGCCAACTCATGAAAAAGGTTTGGATCAATACAAAATTCCCTGTGTTTTCCCTTCCTCTTCCAGAATCAGGACTCCATTCTGCAAGCTCCTGATGATTTTCAGCTTCTAAATGTTTTGTTTTGGGTATAAAATAAATAGTCTGTATTTAAATCTGAAACTGTAAAATCTTTAGAAATCCATCACATTTGATAGACTGGAGTATTTTGAAGATACACTTTGAACATTTTTTCTCTGATGTGGAGGGTTTGGCTTTTGTTTGAGATTTCTGCAGCAAGCCTGTGTTGCTTGGCTACTTAAATTAGATTCATTTTATAGACCATAATAATATACATCCTCTGTTATTTCAGTTCGGAAGGAACTTAACCTCAGCCGTCTTCCTTCCTAAGAAGTTCTTAAGCACTGTGCTACAGCAGGGATTCCTACCACCATTCTCAATAACTTCCTTCATCTGGATCCAAAAGCATTTTCCACTTGGATGTATCCAGCAGACTTGATCTGAACCTGTAGTTTTCAAATAATCAATACTATATTTTTCACTAATACTGCGTCCATAACAAAACCGTGCATGTGAGTCTTCTCATCCCATCCTACTCAGATTCAAACAGAATCACAAAATGGTTTGAGGGAAGGGATCCTTAAAAGCCATTTAGTCCAACCCCCTGCAGTGCCCAGGGACACCCACAGCTCCACCAGTGCTCACAGCCCCATTCCCTGACGGTGGGTGCTGCAGGCATGGGGCACCTCTCTGGGCGCCCTGTGCAGTGCCTCACCACCCATTGTAAACAGCTTCTTCCTGATATCCAATCTGAATCTCCCCTCTTTTAGTTTGAAACCATTTCCTCTTGTCTCATCACAACAAAGCTTGCTAAAAGTCTGTCCCCTTCTTTCTTACAGACCCCTTGTAGATACTGAAGGCCGCTCTCAGCT